ACATAAGTCCGTGAAATTTCATAGGCCAACCGTAGGTAAACATAGAAAGAGCAATAATAGTAAAACTCGAGCGTCACGACATTGCGAAGTGTCTGCTCTTGTTCCTCGTATCGTACTCATTCGAGTCAATCCGAGATGGCCCGAGTGAAGTTTCATACAAATGTTTCGTACGGAAAAAAAATCGCGTCCAGCCTAGAGATTCTGTTGTAACTGTGAGTGTAACTGTATATCGCGCAAAATACTAAGTCCATATCACAATATAAACGGTCAGGGGTGGGGGAGGGGTGGAGTTAGGTCTGCCCCGTCACCGCCCACCCCCCGGTCGGGGAGAAAACCAAAATATTCGTCGGAGAGAAAAAGAAAATATATGTATTTTCTTTTCGTCGGGGATATCGGTCCCCTCGTCGGGCAAATCCTGGCGCCACTCTTGTAAACGTTTATAGATGCTCTGCTAGATAACCACAGAAGGGTAGTCTCTGTTTAAAATAGAGGTGTCTACTAAGTTGGTTCTGGTAATAACCAATTTTTGTCCAGGCTCAGTGTTATTATTTTTTGCCAATTTCACTCTTAAAATATTCTTATTTCATTCATGTTTCTACACACTTTTCAAATATACAAAATTATTATTTTACAGCAGTATATTACTGTATTATAGGGTATTACCATAAAAAATTATATTCCTCTATGGTATATTTACATAGTCACTTTATTCCTGTGTGGTGACACATACTGCAAATAATGATAAGATTTGTGGGATTGGGAGGGGTGGGAATCTTACGTAAACCGTCGCTGTTGAGCACCCCAAGGCCCTGCACAAGAGTTCATGGAGCGAAGATAGTTCGTCGCCGCCAGAGCCATTTTCATGAGTTCATATAGGTCACTTCCGATTTTAGAGACATGTGTATCATACAAATACAATACTGTATTTCTTCGGTGTGACACGCACCAAGAAGGTTAACCTACGAACGTCCATGAGACCTATTTCCGGTGGGGTCCTTCTGGTGGTAAATTGCCAGTACACCGGGAGAAAAAATACTACTATTTTCGAAGAGTGTACTGCGTTCTTTAACGTGCACATGGGCCATTTTGCACATGAGACCAACGGCTTAAACCGCTCATTCCCGAAAGACGGTTTGCTTTTGCGACTTCCATTTCGGCCCTCCAGCTGAAACACGAGCAGCGAACCGTGGACCTAAAGATCTCCACGGCTCAGCACACACAGCCCTTACAAAAATATCCTATAGGATCCTATAAGAGAAAATCCTATAGGAATCTTATAGAATTTTCGTCACATCTATAGGATCCTATAGGATTATTTCAATAGATATCCTTTGGGAATCCTATAGGAATCATATAGGAGTCGTATAAGTATCCTATAGGAATTTTAATATGTTTCCTATAAGATTCCTAATGAAAATTCTTAATGAAATCTTATAGGAAAACTGCAAGATTTTTAAATGAAACAAATAGGAATCTTATAGTTATCCTATAGGAATCCTATAGAATGCCTAAAGGAATCTTATAGATTTTCTAAAGGATCCTTATAGGAATCTTATATGAATTATATAGGTATCTTATAGGAATCCTATGGGTTTCTTATATGAAATCTATAGGAATCTTATAGATCTTATTGGAATCTTATAGGAGTCTTATATGAATGATATAGGAAGGTTATAGATACCTTATATAAATCTTATAGGAGTCTTATATGAATTATATAGGAATCCTGTAGATATTTTTAGAAATCTTACAGATATTTTATAGGAATTTTACAGATTTCTTTCTGGGATCATATAGGCGTCTTATAAGAATCCTATAGGACTCTTTTAGTAATCCTAAAGATATCTTAAAGAAGTCCTATAGATTTCCTAAAGGAATCTTATAGAAGTCTTATATGAATAATACAGGGTCCCTATAGATATCGTATAAGAATCCTATATGGTTTCCATAGGATTCGTATGGGTGTCTTATAAGAATTATATAGGAATCCTATAAGTATTATCTTTATTATCCTATAGATTTCCTAAAGGAATCGTATAGGTGTCTTGCAGGAATCTTCTGCGAATGCTTTAGTTGTTATTCTTATCAGAAAGCTATAGATAATGATTTATTATAACAGATTCATATAAATTTCTTATTTTTGTAAATACAGTATATACTGTTTGTTAATGTTAATGCAAGCAATGGTTGCTTAGTAAATTGTTATTGATGGGTTAGCTGGTTGTTGACATCCATTTGCATGCACAAGCAGTATTGAATGATTGATGCATTTGATTTCGAGCTGGAGTGGCTACTGGATGGAAAAATAATAATGGCTTAAACAACTCCTGCAGACATACAAAATACACTGAGTTCAAGATATACTGTAGAATGCGGAAAACCAATTCACACACTCTGGGGTGTCACCGGGTTTAATACGTCACACAAACGACTCAGACGAACAAAGTTCTGGTTCTAATTCATTTATTGTTTTCTGTCTCGTGGTTTGAACTTCACTAATTTTCATCTACCTGTACGTCTGGTGAGTGACTGTGGCCGCTCTAGCCCGGTTAACTCAACTACTCAAGTCTACAATGAAAGCCTGTGCCTTTCCTACTATAAATCATACCAATGATCAACAAAGGTACAATCTTAGTGACTCTACTGAGAGCACTATACGAGACGTCCTTCGCCTCCAACATACCAGCACAGACTCTGGCGCTTCTTAAACCTTATCACCCTTAACCCACCTCAAATATGCCCAAGATATAAATGCGCTAAGTGCCTAATAACAACAGGGCGCGAAAGACCCTGTATCCGACCGCGGGTAAAGAAATAGTTTGGTTGACAGAACATAGCGGGCGCGCAAAAAAGAAAAAATAGCGATAAAGAGCAACCACATATGATTCAGTGCCTTTTTCTTCAAAAAATTAGGTGGAAGACCAGAAGATACAGAAATGTATGTTTAAATAAAACCTAGTTGTAAATAATATATTTAAAAAAAAAACTAAAAGACAAATTACTTGAACAAAAAATGTAACTTATCCCATTTAGTTTTCCAAGATCTTATTTTTGAATTTACACAAGCAATGTATTTTTTCGTTATGTAATGCAATTTAAGTATTTAAAAAAAATTATTGTACAACTGATATTTTAAGGCAAAAATATGGTAGAAAAAAGATTGGCATGCCCATTTTCCCCCCAGTTTATGAATATTCCAAAATCTGTATGCCATTAACCAACACCCTTTTTGTGTCTTATAAAATCAGTTATAAAAACATAATAAAAAATGTTTCCCTCCAGAGGCTAGCTTTAAGCCATTCTGAGTAATTTTGTGTCCTCAATCCACTCTGTCTCTTATACACATCTAGATGTGTATAAGAGACAGGGATTAAAGATCCATTCACATCCACGTGTATGTAAAGTTTCTTCCATAAGGCTTTGATTCATTTTGGCCAATGCTTCTCTCAGCTCCCGTTCACCTGCTACAAAGTTTGTACCATTATCGCTAAAGATCCTTTTGGGATCTCCTCTTCTGGCAACAAACCTACGATAAGCATTGATGAAAGAGTCAGTATCGGCTGAGTCGGCTACTTCCAAGTGTACCGCTCTTGTTACCAGACAAGTAAATATACACCCATAACGTTTAACCTTAGAACGACCCTGTTTAACTTCAATCGGACCAAAGTCTAATCCAGTAAAGGTAAATGGCGGTTTGTCTGCTGTTACTCGCTCTTCCGGCAATGAGGCCATCAACTGTTGCACTGGTCTTGCATGGTGTTTCCTGCAAGTAACACAATCCTTTAGAAGTCCTTTGACTGCAGACTTACCTTTCATTATCCAATATCTCTCACGGAGAGTGTTTAAAGTTGCAGACCATCCACTGTGCCCTGCTCCTTCATGATACTGTTCTATAAGCAGCCTAGCTACATTTCCTCTGTGAGGGAGAATTACTGGGTGTTTGGCTTCAAAGTTTATTTGAGAGTTATTTAACCTACCTTCCACTCTAAGGAGATTCCCTAGAAGAACAGGTCTTAAAGTTTTGAGTCTAGAATCTTGTTGCCAATTCGGAAATGATCGTCTCTGTTCCCATGACAAAATCATGTTTTCACTTTCCTTTATTTCTGAGACGAGCAAGTTGCTTGTTACTGTAGGTCGCTTTTGTACCCTATCCTTAATGGAATTTCTGAATCTTAGAATCCAGCCTAGAATTCTAACTAATCTTGTCCATCGAGAACACTTACCTACCAGGTTTGCTATCAGGTCTTCTTCGAGATTGTCACTTACCTGATTAGTAGTTATTTGATGAATAACTAATGACCTTTTGACTTCTGGATCTGTAGACATATCTACATCGTCAAACTTAGATGTGGGCCAGTGGGAAGGATCTTTGATTAGGAACTCTGGACCATTTAGCCACCTACTCATAAAGTATGTTCCACGTGATCCTTCGTCAGCTGGATTGTCTTTACTACCTACGTGCCTCCATTGTTCAGGTTTAGACACACTGCGGATCTTGGCTATTCTGTTGGCAACAAAAGTTTTAAATCGCCTATCTTCATTCCTTATGTAGTTAAGAACTATCATCGAGTCGCTCCAAAAGGTCGACTCACCTAAGGCGTAACTCAATTCTCTCCTGACTGTGCTGTCAAGGGTTGCCGCTAGTACAGCAGCCATTAGTTCTAACCTAGGTATCGAAACTGATTTTAAGGGAGTCACCCTGGCCTTCCCAACAACATACTCACACGATGTTTAAAAAAGGTAGCAAGTCTGATCCTTTAAATTATAGGCCGGTTAGTTTAACGTCTGTTTTGGGTAAGATCATGGAAAGAATTGTTAAAGATAAAATCTACAGTCATTTGGAATCGTGTAGTCTGTTAAAGGATCAACAGCATGGCTTTCGCTCAGGTAAATCGTGTGTAACTCAACTTATTGAAGTTCTTGATTATTGGACATGTTGGTTAGATAAGGGATTGTCTTTTGATTGTATCTATTTTGATTTTCAGAAGGCCTTTGATAAGGTTTCACATAATTTTTTGTTAGTAAAGCTAAGGTCGTATGGGATTTCTGGAAAATTGTTGCAATGGATTCATGATTTTTTGAGCGATCGGAAACAAAGGGTCGTTGTTAATGGGGGAAAATCGCAATGGCGTAATGTTGTTAGTGGAGTGCCCCAAGGCAGTGTCCTTGGGCCTTTATTATTTGTTATATTCATTAATGACCTCCCAGAAGTTGTTTTACATTCTAATATAATGCTTTTTGCGGATGACACGAAATTGTTTAGAGTGATTCAGTCAGATTTGGACAGAATATTGCTTCAATCTGATGTAAATGCATTGTATCAGTGGTCTAGGGATTGGCAGCTACCGTTTAATTTAATGAAATGTAAGGTGATCCATTTTGGTTCTAAGAATATCAGATCAGATTATTTTATTGGTGAAGGCCCTTCCAGAGTTGGTATTGAGTGTGTGGAAGAAGAGAATGATTTAGGAATATTAATTGACAATCAATTAAATTTTTCTGCCCACACTACTAAAGTTGCTAGATCAGCAAATAAGATACTTGGTATGATAACAAGGTCTTTCAAATATCTTGATTCAAAAAGTTACATGAATTTGTATAAGGCAATGGTTAGACCTATTATGGAATATGGTGGTAGTGTTTGGATACCTCTGTACCAAAAGGACAAGGACCGCTTAGAAAAAGTTTAGCAACGTTCTACTAGACTAGTATCTGAAATTAGGGACATGAGTTATGAAGAGAGGTTAAGGACCTTGGAATTGCCTACTCTGATATTTAGGAAAAAGAGGGCTGATGTTTTACAGACATTTAAGATTGTTAATAGATTAGAAAATATTGATGAAGTGAAGCTCTTTCAGAAGTTTGAATATAAGCAAACCCGGGGTCATAAACATAAATTAAGTAAACCTCGTTTTAGGCTTAATATTAGAAAAAACTCTTATGCAGTTAGAGTAATTGATGATTGGAATGCCCTGCCCAGTTGGGTGGTTGATTCTACTACTGTCCATCAGTTTAAATCGGGTATTTCAAAATATTGGTCTGACCACCAATTTAAGTTTCGCCCGTACGTAACTGAAGAGTTTGTACGAATGACGATGGAGGGACAAATGAGCTAAGTTCTCAAGTCCTATGGTTCAAGGTAAATTCAAGGTAAATTCAAGGTAGATATATCGCCATTAGATGACTGTGTTCTAAGGTACGCTACCGCCGCGTATCCCTTTTCGGACGCATCACAGAAGATATGAAGCTGACTATCCACCGCACTGTCCAGTTTCAACCATCGTTTTACCCTAACCTCAGAAAGGCATGACACATGATTGAGCCATTCTTGCCATCTTCTAGCCTTATCGTCCGTCAGTGGTTCGTCCCAGTTTCCCCTCTTTTACAGACTTCTTGCAAAAGAGATCTGGCCACTAATACTAAAGGAGCCGCAAAGCCTAGTGGGTCATAAATCGAACTTGTCACTGAGAGCAATCCTCTCCTGTTAGTTGGCTTTTCCCTGAGCGACGTCTGGAATGTAAATTGGTCGTCTTCAGCATTCCAGCACACACCTAGAGTCCGTTCGGTTGGCAATTCGTCTAAAGAAATTGGTACAGAAGGAGCTCGTTCAGACTTTTCTATGCTATCTAATACCGACCTGTCATTGCTTAACCACTTAGTTAAGCGAAATCCGCCCTTGTCAAGAATCTCAACAAGTCTCTTAACTAACTGTATAGCTAATTCAGCGTTTTCTACAGAACTCAAGCAATCATCGACATAGAAACTATTTCTAATGATTTCTGTCGCCCGTCGACCAATTTCATCGTTGTTACTGACCTCATTGTCGTCTGCCGTCTGTTTTAGGGCCTTTCCAGCACACGACGGCGAAGAAGTGGCACCAAATAGGTGAACACACATCCTGTATTCCTTGGGCAGCTTACTAAGATTGCCTCCCTCCCACCAACGAAACCTTAAAACGTCTCTATCGGACTTAATCATACGTACCTGATGGAACATTGCCTCGATGTAGCTAACTATGGCTATCCTGCATTGCCTAAACCTTAGCAAGACACCTAATAGATCATTCATTAAATCTGGTCCTTTCAAAAGCATATCGTTAAGCGATGTTCCACGAAATTTCGCTGCACAGTCGTAGACTACTCTTACCTTATTTTTCAGAGGATGGATGACTGGGTGGTGAGGCAAATACCAAACATTACCTGATTTTGTTTCTCCATCAGTTACTGGCTCAGCATAACCATTCTCTATGTAGCCCTGTATAACTTTTGTGTACTTCATACGAGTTTCATCGTTCGTCGATAGCCTTCTTTTCAGGGACGTAAGTCGTGACTCTGCCATTGATTTGTTATAGGGCAAATCGTGGTTATCGTACTTCCAAAGTAGGCCCATCTCATAATGGCCATCGCCAGTTAGACCTATAGTAGATTCCATAATTTTACGAGCCCTGCTGTCTTCAACTGAATCTTTCTCTTCACAGAGACCACTATTCTCTATTCCACTCACTATTCCCATGACATTTGCACTTCTTCCAACAGTCTTTGGTTACTTACCTGAATATGGTGGCTTGTGACAGTTCTTCTGCCTGGACCCCCTGGTCCCATCACCGACCAACCTAGCAAAGTCTTAACGGCATAAGGGTCTTTACTATTTCCTTTTCGTTTGCTCTTACGTTCTTCGAGCACCCAAAATGCCTGAGGGGCATCTGAACCGATCATTAGGCCTACCTCATCAAATTCATAGTCCTCCCAGGGAAGATTGTTCAAGTGACTCCATTTACCTAAGTCGTTGACTCTGGGTCGGCTATCAGCAGATGCTGGTATCTTTGGGACTGAAAGGAAATCAACAGGCATAACTTGATCTTCGTACTTACCTTTTACTGTAAGTTCGAATTTGAATCCTACTCTATCTATGTCACCATTGATAGTCGTGGATTTGTACTTTATCCTCTCGCCACGTACACCTAATTGTTTTCTAAGACTTTCAGAACAAAGGCTAGCATCAGAACCCTGATCAAGTAAGGCAAGGGTACTTACCTGAATACCGGTGTAAGTAGTAACAACTACTGGTAGGATTCTTAAATAAACGCGTCCACCGCTCGACGTACAGTTAGATGTTATCTGTTGGTCAGGGCTTGCTTCAGATCTTGGTGGCGGATGTACTGTTTCGTGGTGCTTACCTGAACCACACTTCTTGCATGTCCATTTCTTAGTACACTTTGCTGCTACATGGCCTGGTGCCAGACACCTAAAGCACAGCCTTTTCAACTTCACCAACTGCACTTTTTGGTCATATGAGTTTTCTGCAAGACTAATGCATGCATAGACACGGTGATTACCATCACATACATAGCATTTTAATGGATTGCTACTAACATTGTTAGTCCTCACACTAACCTTATTGGCAGGTTTAGAACACGTACCGCTCACATGGGACTTGGAAACATTCCTACCGAACATCGTGCATGATATCTCAGCCTGATGTTCCAGGAATTCTAACAAATCTTTGAATCCTGGTTCCCTAGAATCATTACCATATAGGATAGAATGTGCCTTCTTGGCCCAGGAGGTTTAAGGTACATAGGGAGCAATTCCTGTATCCTTAACAGATTACTGGTACTGTTCAGGTCACTAGTATAGCCTATTTTTGTTAGGGTAACGTGACACCTTTTCATGGTAGCAATTAGTTCCCACAACGAATCACTATCGTTGGGTTTCAGCGGCTTGCGATCCAGCAATTCATGCATAAGCGCATTAAGCACCATGTGCGGCTGACCAAACTGTCTCTTTAGTATAGTTTTCGCCTGCGCATAACCTTCATTACCTGGTAGCAACGCACAGCATTCAATGCAGTTACGCGCTTTGCCTTTACACATTTGAAGTAAGTATTGCAGACGTGTAGCATCACTACTGAGTTTGCATTCAAAATTAATTTCAAAATTAATCATAAAAGCATAGAATTCTAATGGATTACCATTGAAGTCGGAGAACTGTGCCTTAGGTAGCTCTAGGGCTAGTTTGATCTCATTAAAGCCACTCAGGCTAACACTAGAATCACCACTAGAGGTTGATTCTGCTACATTCGGGTTATTAACAATAATTCCGTCTGACTCAATTGAGCCTTCACTAATTGAAACAACATTGTTAGATTGTGAAGCACTAACATTTACTTCATCGTTGGCTAAATTACCGTCATTACTTAAATCGCCACCAATTGCGGCTTCACTGGATGAAGATTGCAACGAAGCAACATCACCTTGATCAGAACTATCATTAGAGTCTGATTTAGCATTATCAGTGGCATGTCCACTGGTATTTATTACATTGGAATACCTTATGGCTGCAGTGCGAGCCTTCCAGAATGCAGTATGGCACTCGTCCATCCATGTTTCAAAGATGTCGGCTTCCTCATCGTCTGCTGCATCGGTAAGCTGATTGTGAATCGCTTCAACTGCATCGAAAGCTTTCTGACTCTTCTCCAACAGCTCCTTCACAGCATCACGATCCGCTTCCCCGTCTTCGATTGTTCCCATCATTGTGTTCAGCAATCGCGTCAATGCACCTTTACGCGTTCTTCTCTGTCGCAGAAGGTCTGTCTTTTCATCCTGTGTCGACATCTTTAGCGTAGTCACTCACTGTAGAATGCGGAAAACCAATTCACACACTCTGGGGTGTCACCGGGTTTAATACGTCACACAAACGACTCAGACGAACAAAGTTCTGGTTCTAATTCATTTATTGTTTTCTGTCTCGTGGTTTTAACTTCACTAATTTCCATCTACCTGTACGTCTGGTGACTAAACGAATAACAAATACCATTTGTAAGAAACATTATATAGACAATTAATAAACCTGTAAATGATCATATAAAACATCAGTATCATTGATAACAACGCTGTCTCTTATACACATCTAGATGTGTATAAGAGACAGGTACTTACCTGAATACCGGTGTTTATATTTCTATAAAACTATCTCTATAGAGAATGGATGGGGTCTTATATAGAGAAAAAAATCTTGGATCAATTTCCTATAGAATTATATTTCTATAGAACTATCTCTATAGAAAATGGATGGGTCTTACATAGAGAAAAAATCTTGGATCAATTTTCTATAGAATTATTATTTCTATAGAATTATCTCTATAGAGAATGGATGGGTCTTATATAGAGAAAAAATATTGGATCAATTTTCTATAGAATTATATTTCTATAGAACTATCTCTATAGAGAATGGATAGGTTTTATATAGAGAAATAATTCTTGGATCCAATTTTCTATAGAAGTCTATAAAAACTCATAAATGTCTATAGACTTTCTATAGAATTCTATAAAACATTTTACTACGGGTATATTGTAGGGTTCTTGATTCCCTGATGACCTCGGCAACTTTTTCCCGTCCGGAAAATTGGCCATTCCAATTCCCCCATTTTCCGAGTCGGGAACATCAGACCTGATACTGTCGACTCTGGCGGCACCACTGGGTATACAGTAATAGTATTGAGAATAGTGTTGCTTTCATTTTAGGTGGGAGAAAGGCGCTTATTAAACAACCATTAAATTAAACATTTGGCATAATTTAGCATAATTTCCCATCAGCCCTTGGCATAATCACTGATATTCAATATTTCAAACTAGATTTGTTCAACGGCATATTTCATACTAATTTAGCTTGGTACAATCGGACAAGAAAAGGCATGGTTATGTGCTGCAATATCACAAACAATGTTGGTTTGTGCACACCTGTAACACAAATGTTTCTTGAATAGTGTTTTATACAATAAACTATAGTGATGCTTTAATACGTGATAGGACTACATTACGGAAAAATGCATATTTAAACAGGATTGTAAAGCAAAGAACTCTAGAATAGTCTTAAATTTGGGGTAGAGTATGTTTAACAGTAAGACATAAGCAGAACGATATGTGAAGGGGTATGCTAGTAAATGAGACCCTGGGGAAGTAATGTCCCTACCGTATGATGTTTGTTGGTGTTTTTAATTAAAGAAATTATGGTTTGTATATGAACTCAGTGTATTTTGTAAGTCTGCAGAAGTTGATTAATTTAAGCCATTGTTACTAATTGGCAACAAGGAATAGAGACCGTGGAAAGTTAGGCCAATAAAGACAAGTTGGAACTGGGACGTGACAAATTAAAGACCAGTTGGAACTGGGAGCATTGGAAACCAATTGGAATTGGGGCCAGTTGAAACACACAACACCCACAATATTTTTTTATAGATTACACATAGAAAATCGTTCAATTTATATACAATTTAATGTATTTTTTGTAGGGTTTTTTTTCTATAAAATGTTTAGATTTCTATAGGGGTTTTAGTTTATAGATTTATAAATGGTTTTTATAAAATTGTTTATAGATTTTCTATAGTTTTTAAAGGTTTTTTTAATAAACTTTTCATAGACTTTCTATAGAGAATAAAATTTTCATTGTTTTTAATAGATTTTTTATAGAGTTTTAATAGTTTTTATTAGAGTTTTAATATATTTTTTATAGAGTTTTTTTAGTGTTTTTATATATTTTAATAGATTTTTTATAGAGTTTTAATATACTTTTTATAGTGGTAAGGTTTCTATAGCTATTTCTATAGAATTTTATATAGATTTTCTAAACAATATATTATAGACATTCTATAGTGTTTTTTTAATAGAATTCTATAGACTTTTTTGTATGGGTAGGCCTACATATATATATTTCTCTCCGACAAACATTGTTTTTATCAAAGAGCCCAAAACACCCCCCCCACTTCCGTCTCCACTGATGCCACCCCTGTAACAGAAGCAAAAGAGGACAGGGCCACGAGAGCTGTCCAGAACCCTTCGACGGTCCAGGGGAAGGGAAAGATTCTCTGGAAACTGTTACAATTTTAGATAGGAAACTAGGCCTAAATTAATTTTTAAAGTCTTAATTTTTTTAAATAATTTTCCTTCTAATATAACTACGGTATAGGATTCCTATAAGATTCTAATAATAAACCTAAAGTTTCCTATAAGATTTATAATGATACCTATAGGATTTCTATAAGATTATCATAAAGATTCTAATAATATACCTATAAGATCCCTATAAGATTTTAACAATATACCTATAGGATTTCTATAAGATTTCAATAATATACCTATAGGAGTCTTATAAGATTCTAATAATAAACCAATAGGATTCCTATAAGATTTTATTAATACATCTATAGGATTCCTATAATATTTTAATAATAAACCTTTAGGATTCTTATAAGAGTCTAATAATATACCTATAGGATTCCTATAAGATTTTAATAATAAACCTATAGCATTCCTATACAATTTTAATAATAAACCTATAGGATTCTTGATTCTTATAATATTTTAATAATAAACCTATAGGATTCCTATAAGATTCTAATGATATACCAATAGGATTCCTATAAGATTCTAATAATATACCTATAGGATTCCTATAAGATTCTAACAATTTACCTAGAGGATTTTTTATAAGATTTCAATAATATACCTATAGGATTCTTATAAGATTCTAATAATCAACCAATAGGATTCCTATAAGATTTTATTAATACATCTATAGGATTCCTATAAGAATTTAATAATAAAACTTTAGGATTCCTATAAGTGTCTAATAATATACCTATAGGATTACTATAAGATTTTAATAATAAACCTATAGCATTCCTATAAAATTTTAATAATAAACCTATAGGATTCCTATATGATTTTAATAATAAACCTATAGGATCCCTATAAGATTCTAATGATATACCAATAGGATTCCTATAAGATTCTAATAATAAACCTATAGGGTTCCTATAAGATTCTAATGATATACCAATATGATTCCTATAAAGATTCTAATGATATACATACCAATATAATCCCTATAAGATTCTAATAATATACCTATAGGATTTCTATAAGATTCTAATGATATACTAATAGGGTTCCTATAAGATTCTAATAACATACCTATAGGATTCCTATACAATTCTAATAATAAACCTATAGTATTCCTATAAGATTTTAATAATAAACGTATAGGATTCCTAAAAGATTCTAATAATAAACCTATAAGAATCCTATACGATTCTAATAATAAGCATACAGGATTCCCATAGGATTATCATAATATACCTATAACACTCGTATAAGATTCAATTAATAAATCCATTGGATATCTATACGATTGTAATAGGATTTTAATAATAAAAACTATAGGATTTTTTTGTTTAGGATTTCTGTAAGACTCTAATAATATTTCTATAAGATTCAAATAATAAGCCCATTGGATTTGTATAATATATAGCCGTTTGCTGTTTCATGGGTTTTTCCCATTTGCCTTTCAAAC